TGGAGGAGAGTTTCAATTTGGTAAAACCTCACATTGCATTGAATACTCCACGAAGAGTTCATTTACAGGAAAATGTTAAATTAATCCCAATATTTGAACTCCAACCTTTAACGTCACTAGTATTTGACCCGTGCCACGCACGGGTTCGGATGATTTTTTTTCACTCAGGTAATTTTTTTATCTTATCCTTTATATATATTATTTGAGACTCGGGCTCACAGAATGTCGACATGTGGCGGGTCTACTTAACAAGTTTTTTATGAGTCATCCGCCACCTTTGAAGAGTTTAATGACTTGGCACTTTTATATTAAAATATAGAAAGATCCAATTCTAATTAATATGCCTAATATATACGGAATACCTTATACGGCGACTAGAATATAATTACGAAGTAGAAAAATAAGAAGATAATTAGGATGAGTAGTTTTTAAATTTTTTTCTAATGTATTTTGATTAATTATTATGAGTACAATGTAAAAAAACATCATAGTTTTTTCTACTGATAATATATGTTTAATTTATTTTTATGTAAATTAATATTTCCATTGAATAATAATAATAATACATTTAAGTTAGAACAAATTGAAAAGGTTAAAAAGGAGAAAGACTATTATAGACGTAAAGTATAAAAAAGTATCAAAATTACTTATTTTGACTTCTACCTCAATACTTCTCCCTTCTAACTATTATTGTCATTTGAGTTTACTTTCATCTTTTTTTATTGTGTATTCTAACGTCTAACATTNAAAATGTTTATTTTAGATGACAATAGAAACTCTTGCAACCATACCAAAAATGTTGTATACTCTGAAGTGTTTCAAAAATTTGGATTTTAATAAGTCTTTGTTTTGTATATACTTTCAATTCTTCAAATATTATTTATTCTATTTTGATGTTGATGTATATATAGTATTAAAAATCATGTAAGAAATTTATTTTATTTAATCCACAAAAAATAATACATGAAAAAAAGAATTGAAAAAAATTTTGTTCGGCCTCGTGCATGGCACAGGTCAAAATACTAGTTTATTATATGTAAAGTAGAGTTCTTTTGATGTAGTGTTGACATGTGGCATGCCACATGTGCATTAACATGTGCATCCACTAATGAGGTGGATATATGTATTTCAATTCATTGGTCCATTTAGATTTTTTTTAATATCTTTGAATATATTTGTATAAAGCTTTTTCATTTTTAATAACTCTATAAATCTATATTTCACCATTGTCAAATATACTCCGTATTATATATATAATTATTTTTATACTATCCACAACTTATTTTATCTTATTACTTTTCAAAATATAATTATATAAATTTAATCACATATGCATATTTATTAATTAAACACTTTGTTTTTAATTGAAGGGTGACAATTGATAAGTTACATTATGACACATATACATTCTCTAATGATGTATCATTATGTAATTGATCCACTTTTTATTAAAATATTTTATTAATTAAACTTTTTTATGTTATTTTTTTATTAGTACTTAATTCAATGATCATTATTTTTGTAGAATTTGTTTGTTTTTAAATTAACATACCAATATATATATATATATATATATATATATATATATATATATTTTCACCAGTTTAAAATATATATTTTCATTACTAGAAAACTTTTATTAAATTTTTATAACCCTTCATTTTCTTAAACTAAATAACCATTACTGTTGAACAAAACGAACATTATTGTTATCAAATTTTCAAAATAGTATTATAAATTTTTTATCACATATAAATATTTATTAAATAAAAATTTATTTCAAACGTTTTATCCTATTACATACTACAAATAAAAGTATATTATCGTATACGGTGTATATTTTTTCAACAAAGTTAGAGTTGAAAGATGATATGCGTTGTATGTCATATAGGTGTTTTCTAACCATGTGTCATTACTTAATTAATTGATTCAATTGATTTTGTTTTAATTTTTTTAATTGAAAATTATTTCATTATTGTTTTATTCCATGACCATTTATTATGTATAAATTTTTTTAGATCAAATGTACACATCATGCCACATGTGATGCCGCAAGTGCGTATTCATTTTTATTACTCCCTCTGTCCTAGAGTATTTGTCCACTTTCATTTTTACACACCATCTAATGCCCTTCTTTAATCATTTTATCTTGTAATTTGTATATTAAAAAATTATAGAAAATTATATATTAATAATCTATATGTTAAGACAAATCAAACAAGATCACAAATGACTACATTTAGGCTTACACATTGAGAGAATTTAATGAGTCAAAGTACTTAGATGAACAGTTCCAAAAGTCAAAAGTGGACAAAAACTAGGAGACGGAGGAAGTAAATTTTTATAAACACTCTCCACTTTCTAGCATTAAATAACCTTAATTTTTATTAAAATTTTGTAACCCTTTCACTTTCTAACACTAAATAACCATTATTGTTATTAGTTATTTATGGACCATTCACTTTTGAAAATTTTAGAAAATATATTTTTAAATATATATAATAACATTTTTTCAAAATGGAGACGTATTATAACATAAGAATATATAAATTTCATTAACTAAAAAGCAACATTGTGTGTGATTTTTAAACCTATATATTCACTATTTATTTTATTTAAATTTTTCTTGATAGAACTGTTACAATTATATAAACTTTATAATATATGAATTTTTATTTAATACAAAACTAATTTCATACAATAATTATTTTAGTAAATATGTTTCAACAAACAAAGGAAAGAAAACTTTGTTTAAATGAAGGATGACATGTGACATATGCTGCATATGGACTTTCTAATGGCGTGTCATTATCTAATTGGTTCATTTGACATTTCTTTTTTTAATAAAAACAATTTTCATTAACACTTCAATCAATGACCATTAATTTTGTACAAACTTTTCACGCTAGCCTTGCACACCATGTCACATGTCTTGCCAGGTGTGCATACTTATTTTTACATTAAATAAGCACTAATTTTATTCATATGTTAAAAACCTTCACTTTCTAACATTAAATCACTGTTATCTTTATTAAGTGGTTATAATATCATTTACTTTTCAGAATAATCATTATGTTTATTATTTTCTATAAAACTTTTCACTTTTTAACTATTAGAAAGATATATATTTCATTATCATAATATTTTTTTTAAATATGCATAATTATATGATTATTCGGGATCAAAGAAAATTAAAGTATTATAACTTTATGAATCAAAAAAATAAAATTTAATATTATATATTTTTGAAAAGAATACACCATTTATTTTATTTTCTTATTTCTAGCCACTAACTATATTTTATTAACTCTATATTTATTAACTACTATCTCCGTCCCGCTATATTCGTCCAGTTTTGCCTTTTGGAACTATTCATCTAAGCACTTTGACTCATCAAATTCTCTCAATGTGTAAGCCTAAAAATAGTTATGTGTGATCTTGTTTGATTCGTCTTAACATATAGATTATTAATATATAATTTTTATAATTTTTTAATATACAAATTACAAGATAAAATGGATTAAAGAAGTGTATTGGATGGTGTGTAAAAATGAAAGTGCACAAATACTCTGGGACGGAGGGAGTATATATTTTACTTCAAAATGTTTTTTTTGCAACATTATTACATTTTTTATATAATACTTCAAAACATTAAATTCAATAAACCAGATTTGTTTTTGTTGTAGGATAATGCGTGGCCTATGGGTCATATACGACATATGTATCTTTCAATGATTTATCATTGCTTAATTGGTTTATTAGGCATTTTTATTTTATTTTTTCAATAATTAAATCAAATTTCACTATTATTTCGTTTGATAACAATATAATATTTTTGGTCAAGTTACTCTATAATTTGATCACAAAATGTATAAAAAGTATATAATATTTACTTATAATGTAAATTTAGAAAAAATGTATCCATTTAAAATATTATTTTCATATATCAAGTTTTTATGACATTTAATTATTTAAAATTGTACTCGGGTATTTAATTTATAATCAAAGTGTTACATAGTTTTACCAAAAAAGAGTAACTATTGTAATATTTTTGAGACGAAGGGAGTATATGGATTAAAATTCTTAATATATTTTATTCGATGATTGTATTCATTTAGAGTTTATATGTTACATCATTTAAAAATATACTTTTAAAATATGTTTCATACATAATTAGTTATATATCTAAAAAAGTGTAAAATTTATTAATCTTTTAAAAAAGAAAGCCTAATGTTGTTTTCAATAAAGTATTTATCATTTTCTCTTTTATTACATCTCAAAATAAAGATTTAATTTATATAAATTTTAGTACATGTACATGCATATTAAAATTTAAACTTTTCTCCTAGAAGAGATATTTTATAGTTAGAAAACATTTATCAAACACACCATATATCATTAGATAATTTAAAATAAATAGTATTTTTTTTAAATTGTGATGCACGGGATTAATACTAGTGTTTTGTAAATTTGGAATTAAATTGAATTTGGAATTAAGCTTGTGTTTGGATGAGGTGAAATTAGAGAGAAAGAAAAGGCTTTGGATAAAAACATAATTACCAAAAAACTTTGTTTTATTTGTTTGCAGGAGAAAATGGGGAGAGAATGGAAAGGGAGGGTGAAAAGTTTTCTCCTCTTCAGGGGCGAGAAAATTGGCCAAAGGGAGAGAAAAGTTTGGAAATGTCATTTTACCATCTACTATGTTCACTTTCCATATAAAATAACGGTAAAGTTATTTTTTTATTTTAATACATTTTCTTTCCTCTTATCTTTTCTTTCTATTTTCTACCTATCTAAACAATATTTGTTTTCTTTCCATTTTTTCTTTATTTTCTTTCTTTTTTATTTTCTTTCCATTCATTTTCTTTCCACACATTTTCTCTTTTTATCCAAACATTGTGTAAATCCAAAAATTGCCCCAAATCCCCCTCAACGCGCCGCTGCAAGCAGGCAAATTGAATTCTTTCATACAAAAGTGGCCATCTGACTCTGTCACTGATCTACATCTCGCCGCCGCCGCTATTAAACTCCACTCCGAACTACGCCTATGCGGATCTGCAAGTGATTAATCCCCAGGCTTGGCGGCTTCTCACCACAGCCGATCTCCCATCGTTGTTATTTTTTATTAATTTTTCAATGATGAAGCTGAAATTTGTTCCCCACTCTTCGAAGAGCAAGGATGTTATCAAGCTCTTCTGCACCCTTCAATTTTCACGCTCATTTAATCTCAGATTCCTTCATAGCCGTGCAAAGATTTTAACAGTGAATAGAATTAGCACATGGGAAGCCCAGAAGCCCTGTTCGAGTTCTGTTGTACAATCTTTGTTTCATATGAATTTATTTGATGGAGTTTATCCTCGTAGTTTCACTTCAGGAATTGTTAGATTAGAGTATAATGAGGAGGCTACCAATAAGGTCTACCAGACGATCGTCGATTACTCTAATCCTGAGCATAAATTGGAGGTAGCTCTCGATAATCTTGGATTAGGGCTAACTACTCCTCTGGTATTAGAGGTCCTGAAAAGGCTTCGATACGAGGAGAAAATTGCATTTAGGTTCTTCACATGGGCAGGGCAGCAAGAAAACTACAGTCATGAGCCTCAGGCTTTCAATGAGATGATTGATATATTGTCGTGTACAAAGTACAAGATCAAGCAGTTTCGAATCGTTTGCGATCTTCTGGACTACATGAAGAGGAAGGGGAAATGCTCCGTTCCTGTCGAAGTGCTGTTGAAGATTCTGAGGCAGTATGCTGAAAAGCATTTGACTCATCTTCACAAATTCGCGAGGAAGAAGAGAATACGGGTGAAGACCCAGCCTGAAATCCATGCCTTCAATTTGCTTCTGGATGCTCTGTGTAAGTGCGCTCTTGTGGAGGACGCTGAAGCCATGTTTGGGAGGGTAAAGAACAAGCTAAGTCCGAATGCGGATACTTATAACATTTTGTTTTTTGGATGGTGTAGGGTTAGAAACCCTACTAGAGGTATGGCTATTCTGGAGGACATGATGAAGATGGGGCATACACCCGATAACTTCACCTACAACACGGCGATTGACAGTTTTTGCAAAGTAGGGATGGTTACGGAGGCGTCCAAACTACTAGAGTTTATGCGAACTCATGGCTCTACCATGTCTAGTCCTACGGCAAAAACATACGCCATTATGATTGTGGCTCTGGTTCAAAACGATAGACTAGAGGAATGTTATGATGTTCTTGGGGATATGATAAGCAGTGGGTGCCTTCCGGATGTTTCCACGTACCAGGATCTGATCGAAGGTATGTATTCTGTTGGAAAGATTGAGGCAGCTTACAAGTTTCTAGAAGAGATGGGAAGCCGAGGCTATCCTCCTGACATTGTCACTTTCAATTGTGTCCTCAAGGTCCTGTGTCACTACAGTGACAGAGATGAAGCACTTCGGCTTTATGGTAAGATGATTGAAATGGGTTGTGCCCCGAGTGTCCAAACATTCAATATGCTTATTGCAATGTTTTTCAAGTTAAGGGATGTCAACGGTGCGTTTGATATGTGGCGTGAGATGGACAATAGAGGCTGCACACGCGACACGGAGACATACTGTGTGATGATTGAAGGGCTTTTTGATAGCAATAATGCTCAAGATGCATGTTTGCTGTTGGAAGAAGTGATATTCAGGAGAATGAAACTCCCTTACCAGAAATTCGACACCTTTTCGATGCAACTTTCTGCAACTGGTAATCTCCAGGCTATACAAAAACTCTCAGAGCATATGAGGAACTTCTACAACCCTGCTATGGCTAGACGCGCCGTGCTGAACCAAAAGCGTAGGAGCATGAGTTTGAGAGGGAGGTAGCGAAATGGGTGTGCTTGAATTGATCGCAAGACTGAGATGTCGCCGTTTAGAGCTACATCCTCTGTTCTTTTTAACTGATGAGTGAATGTGGACATGATGTACGTCCATGTACATTCGATTCTTGATGTATCAAAACAAATGTAATGGACAGTTGAAACATAACAGAGGGAGTATGTGTTTTTGAGAAATCTGCAAGATGACAGATAATCCAGGCATAGCAAAGTACCAAACCAAAAATGCTACGTGTGACATTGCTTCTTCCATATTCAGGAAAAGAATGTCTGTCTCATGCTCCTTTGAATAACAAAAGAGAATATGCATCATTAGTGGATGAACTAAGAACTACCAGTGACATAAAATTTACTCCTTCGGAGTCTTTTTGCTTTATTGAAGAAGTGAAAGTTAATTGTTAACTTGTAAGGAACCATTTATAAATCCTTGGATACCTGGGTTGCACCCCGGCCACAACTCAAATGGCAAAGGCATTGGGTGAGCCTTGCTGGCAACTTACATGGTGGGGGTTCTAATCCTAGAGGTAACTCTTTAGATTCGGCTCCTTTTGTGGCGGGATTAGCTGTGACAAAAAATCATGGGGTCCCTAACCAGTTGAGATATATCTCGCGATTTTCTTCCTCCACCAACCTCATACAAGGGGTGCGAGAGACCCTGGGGTGGTGGTTCCATATTTTTGGATATCTGGGTTGTGGCAATCTCTTACCTGCACCTAAAGTGCAAATAAGCATTTATGAACATTCCTAGCCCCTAACCCTCCTAAACTCCGCTCCCATCCCAAATCACCAATTGGCTACAGTGTTATTGTAGCCACTTGGCAATTTGGGGTGGAGGTGGGAGAGGGGGGTTAGGGAGTAGGAGTCATCAATTTTTTGAACGGGGTACCGTAGGCCTTGTTGTCATAAATCTCATAATACACCCTTTCTTGTTGTCAAAAGAAGGAGCCATATTAAGATAATTACTTATTTAATACTTTATAATTTTATTGATTTTTTATATGAGAAGGTTTATGTGCAATTGTGCACCAAGGGTACATGCGTGCATGGTGGAAGCACTCACCTGGTGTTTATTGAAAAAATAAAGTACCCAATACATCTTTTTCGAACAAAACAAATTCTTTTGTGGTTCTTAGATTTATGTCTGTTATATGAATCTTAATAATAAAATTATTATGTATATTGAGCTTTGTAAAAATTAAAAGATCTAATTATGAGCTCATGGAAAATATGTGAAAAGGTCTATATTTTACATGTAGAATAAGATCATAATAGTACAACTCGTCAGAAAAACGAGTAAAATAGGTATACATTTTGTTTTTTATTACTCCTTATTTTGGTTCACCGTAAGATTTATTTTGTTTAATGATACTTGTCAAATCTATTTTGGAATTTTGGGAAAAAGATCAAAATAGAACTAAAACATAACAAGAAAAACAAAATGAAAGTTTCATGTTTTTATCTCAAAATCCGACCTATAAAGCCGATAAATAATACCAAAATACTATAAATTGCATACATTATCACGGCCACGGTACAATAATTTTATTTTAGGGACAAACATAGATATCCTATTTCGGGGGATAAATTTATATTTTTGTCCTAGCAAGGTGAATATCTTTGGAATTATTCCGTATCTCTACGGGGTATTTATTTCATCCCCATATTGTAAATTATACGTTGCTATAAGTAATGCAAAGGGGTTCCGTTGGCATTTGCCCCGATTGATACTACGGTGTCACTGGGGTTTCAAAGCACCTAAATTCTTCGTTTCTAAAACTGACGATTCCTATTCCTAACCCCCGACAAAAATCCTACCCCGGCCCAAACTCACCCACCCCAACCCTTTTAATCTCTTGGCAATGACTAGAAGGATGTAGAGCCCATGTAAAATCACATTTTAACCCAAAATTTAACACCAACATGTCGAAAAGTCTAATAAAAGATTATTCAGAGAAAAGTAAACATAAACAAAGAGCCACGAACGTGATAATTAATACTCCATTCGTCCCAAATTATTTACATTTTTTGAACATGTAAAATTTGAAATTTTTAAAAATAATATTATCTATAAATTGGTATTAAAAAAACTCCCTCCGTCCCAATTTATCTCGTTTGTTTCGGATTACAATGTTTAATTGAATTTATTTTTAAATCATTTTATATTGAGAATGGTGTAGAATTAAGAACTAAAAATTACCTATCAAAAGATTTACAAAACTAGTGGTGACAAGACTATTTTATTTTATCAAATGACTAACAAAAATAGAAAAAAAGTGAATAAAGTTTGACCATGTGAATAGTAAACAACTAATTTAGTTTGGGACAGAGGGAGTACAAATTACATATTTAAAAATTATATTAAAAGTTCTATAGAACAAGATGTGATAAAAATATTTTATTTTATCAAATAAACAATGAAAATACATCAATTAAAAAACAATGAAAACCCATGAATAAACAAGAACTCCAAATAATAAAAGCGTAACTCTTTGTTGGGCGGAGGAAGTAATACATAACTAAATGCGGAGTATGAAAAACCTTTAGGGCCCGTTTGGCGAGTTTGAGGGTATTATAAGATTTGAGTTTTTAAATCTAGAAGAAATGATACTTCTTTCGTTCTTGAAAATACTTCCGCCCTAATATTTTGTGTACCTCATAAAATATTTTTACTTCCACCTAAAATCTAAAAAATACATCCCATTACGTAGTTTATTGCGGGTAGAAGTTGTTTTGAAAGTATTTTAGACATTTTAGGTAGAGTAAAAGTATTATATGGGGTGTGCAAAAAATTAGGGCGAAAGTATTTTCTAGAACGGGGGGAGTATGTGTTTCGGAGGATTCCGCCAATACCTGCTTTGTTGATAAGTGGTTTGCAACTCCTGTCAACATTAAGGGTCCATTCACAATTTTGAGCCATCCTCCACTTAAGTGGGTGATCAATATAATTGGTAGAGTTGCACCATCCGCCCAGATCTAAAATCTGATCCACCATAAACCAAGTTCTTAGCGGAAACCATGGTTTCATCGCTCAGAAGCCTTGGCCTCGAGCTTAATGTCTCCACTGGAGACAAATTTCACTATGCAAAGCTTAAAGTCGACGGCTAGGTCTCGGGACGCTTGGTCATCTGACCGCCACAAAGGTGATTGTGATATGAGTGATGGTCGTCAACAGTAGTGCTGGGCAATGTTCGGGTTTGACATTACCCCTTTATTTGACATTGTGAATTTGCATATGTGACATTATATATGAGCATTTGTGGTATTGTGCACTGTGATATGTGACATTATGTGTTGCCATGTTTGACGTTGTACCTTTTTTTTCACTGTATAGACAATTAATGTAGCACTGCGATCGATGCCGACAATGCAAAGTGTGACGGTGTTGTGGACGGCTTGCGATGACTACTCGATTTTCATGTGGCGGCGGCTCCAGGTCGACAGCGCGCAACAACTAGTGCAACATGATTCACCACAATTCCATGGTCTAACAATGGTATCAACAACACTACCTATTGAATTGATGATTTCTTCGCCATTATATAATACAATAGAGATGAGTATGTGAGATTTCATATTATACTTATGTATGCATGCTTCATGAATGATTAGTTACTCTGTATGTAATTTATGTCAGCAGTAGATTTTGGTAGCGGTGGCGCAACAGTCTGGTGGGAGCGGAGCATGGCAGCGGTAGGGACGCGGCGGTGGTGGTAGTTGCTAGAGGTTGAGACTTATAGGTGAGTCGCTATTGCTGATTTTTTTTTCCTCGATTTGCAGGAGGTTGAAACTTGGAGGCTTGGAGCTTGTGGGCTAGATTTAGTTTTTTAAGTTAATTACTCCTATTTAGGAGAGTTTAAGTTTCAACTCTTATTTAAAAAATATGACATGAGTTTTAATCCTACTTTGTTTCTTTTCTTATATTGTTTTGCTCACGAAACACACACTTAGTGGGGTGTATTCAATATGGAATCTCTAGGATTTTTTTGGATTTTAAAAGTCTATTGATATTCAATTGAGATTTTAAAAAATCTTTTAAAATTTTGATGTATTCAATTAAGATTTTAAAATATACCACTAAATCTAAGGATATTCAAAATTCTATGAATTTTTAAAGAGTTCTATTAAGGATGGATTGTGAAGGATTCTATCAGCTCTAGTATAAATAAAAATGCATCCCCAAATCTCTTCATAAACATAGGGATTTTGAGGGAGACAAAAATATTCACGTTAGTTCATCTTCCGTAACTTTACATCTTCCATTTTCATCTTCCGCAAACATACATCCAATATCTTCGGGCTCCGACAATATTTACTTCCGCAAACACACATCAGATACATCATCATTCACCTAATTATGATAATTGCCACTTCATTATTGTACTTCTCAATCAAGACAATAGAATGTGAAATTCTGCAGATTTCTTATATAAACGTGTTCGATACATTATTTTTTGTTAAACTTTTCTTTCAAATTGTAATTACTTTATTTTTATTGTGTTTTATTTATTTATTTTATATTTTGTTACTAGTTATTGATATTGGAACAATCTATAGAGATTTAAAATCTAAACAAATCTTGATAAAAATACATTATAATCTTTTCAAGTCTACGCAGAATTAAAAAATCTATTGATTTTGCACAGTCCATGGATTATAAAAATTCTTACAAATTCTTTTATGGTATGTTTGGGAACATGGATTTGCGTTTCAAATCTGGATTTGGTTGAAATTCTTTGTTTGAGAAACTTAAAAAATTTAAATTTGGATTTGGATAAAATTCTTCTCATTCATAACAAAGCTTATTTTGAAATTCTTGCATCCCCTCTTGTCATTTGAAATCAAGATTTTAAATTTTAGAGTTAAAATGCATGAATTGAAATGAAATGTTAATTGCCAAATATTATTTGAAATCTTTGGAAACCTTAGCCACAACTAGATCTATTGGATCCGGTCGAACCTTGGAGCCCTTCCCGTCGTTTTGGCCTACTATTTAGTAAGCTAAGCAAACGCAGGGAAACTCCCCGGCGGCAAGGAGACGGCCCGTGCAGAGCCAACAATCCGAAGAAAAGACAGCTATTTGAACTATTCCTCGAAGAATTTATCCAATAAATCTGGTATTTACTATTTACTTTTGATTTTGATCTCATGAATTCTTTTGCTTGTCGCTACGCTTAATTTTTTTGGTTGATTGAACTTTTCCTTACGCTTGTTTGCAAAGCAGACTTCACGTTGATTTTATTCATGATCCTTCGTTTTCTTTATGATTTTCCTTCACACGATATTTGGGTCATTGATTGTTGAACTTGTGGAGACAACTGGTTTCTTGATTACTAACTTAACTATGCTACAATGCCCAAACTTGCCCCACCTTCCCACGAACATGGTTTCACAGGCAAGACATAGCCTGTGAAACTATGTCTGTGAGTATGAGTATGGCTGGGCAAACTTGGAGGCAAGATTGGGGCCAAAATTGCAGTTTCTTGATATTTTGTGACGGTTTAAAAGGGTTCTTAATTTTTTTACTTCTACATGGTCATTGACCTATTGGGTAATGAATAGAATTCAGTAATACACCTGGTTTGTGCCTAAGTTCTCTTAAAAATTTAAATATGGATTTCTTTGTTTAAATGCCCTTGGGTATCAGATTCTGTCTTTTATGTATGGGGAGTGTCTGGCGCTTTTATTTAATGGTTTAGTTTTTTCACATTGGTTTGATTTTAATGAGATCACATTATAAATCATACCCATGACAAAGAACAAAGTTTGAGGGTATTCATAGTTTATTGTAGTTTTAATTTCACACATTTAGGTGTTTAAATGTGAATTATGCTTAAAATTAACCTTTTGATTGGACAGATTGTTTTAACTGAGAAACATGTTAATGAAAATTGAAAATGGGGTTTAATGAAACTATGGAGCAGGTTTAGACGTTAAGTGGCAATCCCTTGACCATTATATAAATGTTTGCATCCTATATCCTTTAGGCATATTGGTTTTGATGCTGGAGATTCAACTATTTCATACTGCCCCACTGCTGTATGGATTATGGAATACTGATTTTGAAGCAGAAAGTCCTAATATATTCCATAAAACAGAAGTAATATTGATTTTGATACATTTTTTACAATGTAAACTGTAAATAATTACAATTGCCTTGCTGGTTGATAAACAAAAATATTGGTTTTGAAAATTAATGAAGTACCTAACCAAAAGTAGTCCTTTTCCCACTGGGAGGAGTCAACTATATTGATCAATCGGAGTCATTAGTCCGGGATGCCATTTGAGAGTCATTCTGCCACCTCATCTGTATAGACCATACTCATGGCACTAGATATCACTCCCTCACACATATCCTTTATCACCTTTATAGGCAAAGCATGTACACACACCACATTCTTATCTAACACTCTTGGAATAATGTCTCTATGAATTGATGATATGTTTTTTTGAAGTCCATATAAACATGAGACCTCCAGCTTTCACATGGTAGTCTCCATACTCAAAATTGACATGATGACATCTTTAAATTCAGCTACACATGAACCTTAGGATGATTTCAAATCCTTCAATGATTATTCGGGTGCTTTAACTTTTGAACCAGTAAAGGACCAAAAAACTTAGTGAAATATGTTCCAAATAGTATTAAACATAGCTTTTTTTTCCCTTAATAGGGCCTAATATTTTATATTCAGTAAATAAGGTTTAATTATTTACGGAGTAATTATTAATAATTGAATGTTATTTACTAAAGTGGCCTTATATATTAATTACTCCGTATAATATACCCTAACCCTAATTCTAATTCTCACAATCCATTGCAGTCCAACTGCCCCAATCGTGCGCCTCCCTCATCCATTGCCCCTACAACCACACCCATCCCTACAACCACACCCATCCCTGATTTTGTTCTTCTTCCTGCCCCAATCGTGCGCCTCCCTCATCCATTGCAGTCCAACTGCCCAATTTTATTCTTGCCTCCCATGGAAACAACCGAAGCAATATATTTATAGCTATAGTACAATACTACAATGGTTTTCATGAGCCAACCAATTACGAAGCTTCTTTCTTGTGTGTGTATGCTTAGACTAGTAAACTTTCATACCCATCGCACCCCAATCAATTTGAAAACTTCTTCCTCTTATCGTGTGCTGCTCTACCACTTTCTTCCTTTTGCTGAGCTACTGCTGCTACTTTCTCCCTGCTATGCCACCACCACCGCAACGCGACCTCCTACTCCTTACACTCACCGCGGCCTCCCTCTCTTCTTATCCTAATTGTTCATTCGATGCGCCTCTCCACCATCCCTGACCATGCAGCGCCGCCACCTCCCAAGTCATCCCAAAAAACCACCACCTCCTTTTTATTTGTCTTCATTGATTCAAGAAAAATGAAAAAGGCTTGGTTGTCGTTGTTGATTCAATAACAATGAAAAGAGAGGGCATTGTGCATTTAGAATTCGATATTGATGAAAGTTGATGGACATTTGAATTTGCCACAATGTCTCGGCGGTGGATATAATGGAGGCATCACAATGGACATTAACATATACGGTGGATATTGATATCACACATTCACACTGGACATTGTGTTAGGGGTGAAACGGGGGTCTTATCAAGTTGATAATTTAGTGGCAGATTTGCGGAGGAAAATGGAAGGAAAATAGTGGGCAAAAGTATGGAGGGTGTTTTAGGAGTTCTTTTTGGTATTTTATGGAAGAAAAGAATAGGATTAAGAAGGAGAAATGGAGGGATATGAAATGGAAGAAAAATCAGGGATGGATAAAACCAAGTTGGTGTTAAGAGATATTACACACTCTTATCTTAACTTGGGGTTTGAATCTAGAATTCAATTAAGATATTACACACTTAATCAAATATCTAGAACCTAAAACTCACACTTAAGATAACCACTCTTAAGATATAGGATTAGGAATTTGGCTAAAATAGCATCACACTATTTTAAGAATACTCAAAGAGTAAAAGGGGTTTTAATATTCAAAAAAATATGTCTTACAATGGCCATATGGCCTGATTATATATAGGCAGGGGAAGGGGGAAGATATACACAATACATTGAATGTAGACATAAGGAAACTTCCTAGCAACATCCTCTCTCAAAGCCTTGAAATATCAGCCATGTTTTTAGGTCCTTTTATTGGAATAAAATCAGGGATGGGTGTGGTTGTAGGGTCTCCAATGAAAGGCAAACCAAGGGGAATGGATGTCATTCATTTGGGCTGATTTGGGGGGGATGTATTCAGCCAACTAGGGGGACAAAGGGAAAGGATAATGTGTGGTACTTTGGCTGCATATATGATGATTTATTTGGTGGTTAAAGGGTTAAGAAAGTACCATGTTTCTTCTGGACTTTTATGGTTGTTTAGTTGGTTGTACTAGGGAACATAGTAGGGACCATGTTGGGTGGATGTTGGAAGATGAATGGGGCTGTTTTGGTTTCCTATTTTGACCAGGGGTTAAAATAGATGCAAGAGACTTTATTTTTGATATCAAAAGGAAATAAAATACATTTGGATGTTTGGGGTTGGGTTGGACAGAATGGGGGTTGGCCAGTGAAACCCTAAGGTAAAAAATGAAAGTTATTTTGGCCTTTCGGGTTAAAGGACTTTGAATTCTCACTAAAATGGATCATAATGTTTGAACCTAAGTCCTTTGGATTCTATGAGGGTGTAGGACATGGGGGAGGGTATGATAGGGTCGGGCACAAATATAACACATTGAAATCACAATGAACATTAATGTTGTGATGATGGACATTAATCGAGCGAGGGTGTGATGAGATGGAAGGAGCGGGCGGTTGCTGGCGTGATAGGCAGTATCGGTTGACTCCGATAGGTGTGGAGTTGTGGAATAGAGTTTGAATACAACGACAACATTATCCCAGTTCTTCAAAGGCTCTCGCCTATTTCGGGGTAAGGGGGGTTGGACGTACGCAATCTGACCCCTCTGTTTAAAGCATAGAGCGGCTGTTTCCGCATTGACTAACTGCTACTTCACTGTTGAAAGAAGTGCAGGCAATTTAAAGAGCCATATTGCTTTGTTCCACCATACCCCAAGTCCCCAAAGCCAAAATAGTGAATCTTTGGCTCCATCTGAGAAGATGGAAAAAGGTCGGAATAAAATATAGAATTCTGAAAAGGGCATAATGGCACATTTACATTAATACTAATTAATTAGTTAGTTAGATACTTAGATGCTACTCCGTAGTCGGGAAAACAAAATGGTGTGCAAGTGTGGTCCTATATGGGAATAGTATTTATGTTTTGGTACTATCTAGGTAAATTTTCCATAAACTTAAGGTCGTGGAAGACACTTTGTGATTATTTATTTGAGAAAAGAGATGCATTAGAATGAAGACCAAATCCATATGCTCCAAGTCCCTCCAACTGTCGTTGATGATGTTCGTTGACGATGGTCTCCCTAGTTGATATATAGCAATTTTGTACTCTATATCTCAAGAGAGGCTTTATGTAATCTAAAATGCATCTATATTTTGCCGGAGTTGTAATTGAGAAGTTTCCACCCTCTGTTTTCACTTGACATTTTACAAATAAATATTCTATAATAAATCAATGAGAGATCAAGTTGTATAGTGTATTCTCCCACTCATTAATTTTTAACAGGACTTGTGAGAGTCCACATTGTATTAAGTATAATGTACTACTTGTTCTTCAACTGTTTTGTACTCTTAAGTGTATTCATAAAATGCTCACTTTCTTTGCCATGCTGTACTATGTGCTCATTAATTTCCCACAATCTTTAGTTATCCTGCTGTTTTTTTATAACTATTGAAAATTTGAGATGATGTTATATTTTGTTTGTGCAGTTAGTTGATATTATCATCTTGTGACTCCCTGATCATGATAGACACAGTGGAAGGTTAGTATTTTCTACATTTAATATGTTTATGTAGCTACTTTTTTTAAAAGCATATTGATGTGCTTGTAATGTTTATTTGACTATCTTACACTTCTGGTCATTTCACTCCTACATGTTTTTTTCCTAACGCGTTTATATTATGCAAAACACTATCAATCAGCTCCAGTTGTGAATGTGCTGTCTGTGAGAGTGTATTCTCCCACTCATTAATTTTTAACAGGACTTGTGAGAGTCCACATTGTATTAAGTATAATGTACTACTTGTTCTTCAACTGTTTTGTACTCTTAAGTGTGTTCATAAAATGCTCACTTTCTTTGCCATGCTGTACTATGTGCTCATTGATTTCCCACAATCATTAGTTATCCTGCTGTTTTTTATTCCTATTGAAAATTTGAGATGATGTAATATTTTGTTTGTGCAGTTAGTTGATATTATCATCTTGTGACTCCCTGATCATGATAGACACAGTGGAAGGTTAGTATTTTCTACATTTAATATGTTTATGTAGCTACTTTTTTTAAAAGCATATTAATGTGCTTGTAATGTTTATTTGACTATCTTACACTTCTGGTCATTTCACTCCTACATGTTTTTTTCCTAACGCGTTTATATTATGCAAAACACTATCAATCAGCTCCAGTTGTGAATGTGCTGTCTGTGTTTTCTTTAACACTTGAGCCGAATGCTGTAAAATTTCTATAAAGTCTGGAATCTTCACTGTTAAGCACTTAGACTTGAGTCTAGAGTCTAAATACAAGGAATTAAAAGTCGAAAAGAACAAGGTCAAAAGAGGCTCATGAAAATAAAAGTGCAATGCATTGAAGTAATAATGGAAAGGAAAGATAGAACAAGAAGCTCAATAGATAACTCTCCAAAAGCTTCAAAGGAACCCTCCAATCTCCAGCAAAAGGTTCTTGCCCCATCAACAAAGCTGAAAATTCCCCAAAAGTAACAACTCTTCTAAAATGAGGGCCCTTATGTATAGCATAATACAAGACTGCAAGCTTGGTAAAAGATAAACAACAATCAAATAATCCTAGTATCATGCTAATCTTGAAAGTTGAATCCTTGATACAACATTCTACTTAAAGAAATCTGATTTATTCTGGTCCCCTTGACTGATACTTTAATTTATCTTGAACTCTTGATTGATTACTTGATTTCTTTTCTTCTTGAGAGGTAGCCAGGTGGGTATACATGTGTTTCACTGCCACCCACCAGAAAACTGCCTTGGCTTCCAGTAAACTGCACTTCTTTTATTTCTTTTTTTTTTCAGAAAAATGACTATTGGTTGATTTCACTTCATTCAAAATAGTGAATATTGAATATAATACAGTCCACTCTCGGTGTGTTTGATTGGAAGAAGATTTTCAAAGAACAATTTATTATTCTGCCTTTCTCTTTTCCATTGGGTTTTTATCCTTTTCCATCTCTTTTCATTGCACTGGTCGGGTCAGCCACCCATTTCTTTCTTCGTTCTCTTGTTCTTTCTCTTTCTCTGTCGTACCTTGCCATCTTTGGCATACTTTTCTTAATCCTGCTTCCTCCTTTTATGTGTTTTGCAATTCCTTTTTATGTCCTAATCTTGGTAGTCTGTCTCCTTACAAGCTTAATGTCACTATCTTTGTCAAGTGAAGAAAATTGCTTAGGTGGCAAAAAGTGAATTTGTAAAACTGTTTGATTTTGCAATATTCACTCCAAGAACTTTGTTCATTAGGTTTTTCTTTTGTAGTTTGCGGGGTGTCTAACCAGTTGGAAATTTTTGGGCTTCTCGTATACCCAGATCTGTATGGTATTTTCCCCCAGGGTCCATGAATTTTGACAAGTCTAACTCTCAAAGTGCTTGTTAGAGCACATCTTTGGACTTTTTCTGCGATTTTCCACTACTTAATTTGTCCGTCTTTTGATTCTCTTGAATACCTCTTCTCTCTAGTTGTTTGTTGCTTGGACTGATATGTGCGGCGGTGAAGAATAGCAGGTTGGGCCATTTGATAGAGAGTAAAGCAGCAGAAATGAAACATAGAGCAAGGTTCTCATGAGAGAACTCTTCCCTGGTAACAAGCAGCAAGATTTTCTTGGCCTATCAGCAAAGCTTAAAATATCCCAATACTAATGTCTCCTCTCAAATGAGAGCCCTTATTTATAACCAAATATAAAAATGTATGTTGTGTAAAAGATAATTAGTAAATTTATTCCTAATATCATGCTTGACTGAGAGAAATAATGACAGATCTAAAGTATAGAAACGGTGTGTTTTTATTGTGGAACTGCTGTCCAGAACAATGTGCCCATACATATAAATAGAGGACTAAACAACACAACCATTACAAATAGACACAACAGTTTCTAACCAACACATCTGTTGGAAACTGTCATAAAACTGCCTGTAACTGCCCAACTGCCTGCCCTTTTTTTTTTACTTATTTATTTTTAAATTTAAACTATATTCTGGACTGGAATTAACCAACATTCACCCCCTTGATTCCAGTCCTTATTCCTGCCAAATCTTCAATGCCCATCAGTTGATACCAATTGAGAGAAATAATGACAGATCTAAAGTATAGAAACAGTGTGTTTTTATTGTGGAACTGCTGTCCAAAACAATGTGCCCATACATATAAATAGAGGACTAAACAACACAACCATTACAGATAGACACAACAGTTTCTAACCAACACATCTGTTGGAAACTGTCATAAAACTGCCTGTAACTGCCCAACTGCCTGCCCTTTTTTTTACTTATTTATTTTTAAATTTAAACTATATTCTGGACTGGAATTAACCAACATTGACATGTTGATAAACATGATATAGTGTTCTATTTTAGAAAATCTAGTTAATTCCGATCCCCTTGATTCATTATGTGATGTCTCTTGAACTTTTTTATTTCTCCCTCTATTGCTCTCCTTGTAGAAAGGTAGGAATATCTTATGTGTCTACCATCATCATTATCAGGATCTTCCTCCCAAGCCGGCAGTGGCACACTGCATGATCTTTGTCAAAGTAGGGCGGTGCATGCGGCAACAAATGACAGTAATTGTTTTGGTATTTGGTCACGTCACAGTGGTAATTTTGAAATTTGTTCATGTCATGATTATTAGAGGCCTGGTGTGATTAGTTTTGACAAATAATGACCAGGGATGTTTTTTTAAAGAACATTTGACTGACTGGGATTCTTATACCATTTAAATAACAAAACTACTCATGGTTTCAAACAATAGTTAGAGTTTTTTTGAAGACTAATACTATGGTTTTATAGTGAAATATTGGACCTAAACCCAATATGAATGAGAAACAATAGTACTTTTAAAGCTGGGAATCTAGTTATTATACTTTGATGATAGCTAGTGGTTTTATTGTTTTTAGTATGTTGTATTACAATTGAAAACAGTTGCAGCTTTGTTTCTTGTGTATTCTATCGAACCCTTTAACAAGAATATAATATTGTTTGAACCATGTATTCACACAGAAACTTTCATGCAGTAGCTTTAGCTTAAATTGATATGTTAGTAATATCTATCACTCTCGTGTTAGCTTTGCGCAAGAAAGCTGCTAAATGTCAGAGGAAGAAAGTGAGCATGTATAAATTGGCTTTAGAAAAGGCTACTGTGTTGGAAGAATTGCTTCATGATGTTTGTCTTGCCCTTTCGCCTCAACCAATTGATTATGATGCTCGGAGAAATTTGATCCATGTTTTTAATGAAATTGCCCTTGAGATTTATGGTAATAATAATAGTAAATTTCTCTTTTATTGTGTGCAATCTTTGCTTTATTGCTTGAGAATTTATTAATTCATATAATAGGCTTTCTCACATAGAAATGAGTTCTTATACGAAAAATAAATTTCCTACTGCTCAATTCCTCGTTTCAGGCTGTTCTGGTGATGTTCCTGTTGTGGTGGAGTTTGGATCTTTCTCAATGGATCTGTTTCAAGAATAAAGTGATCTCGATCTATCTATAAATTTTAGTGATCTTGACATCCCGCATGACAAGAAGATTCAAACTCTTTGCACGTTTGAAAAGAAGCTTTCTTTACTTCAGTGTAAATTTCAAAACAAATGCTTTTAGTGTTTATGTCTGTAGTCTATATTTAATAAAACTACCTTATCAGCTCCAAACTTGTGAATCTCACCTCGTTGCCAAGTTAAAAAATGATAGCATCACTAGTTTCCCATTTAAATTAGTTTACAAAATGATCTATACTAGGTACTTTTGGGGTATGACAAAATGGTGTGCCTGGGTATGTACTCATGCACTCATAGACGTACATACATAGAAAATGTATGTATCAATGAGTATGGTTTTGTTAGGAGCATAGAAGATATTGATCCTTGCCCATGGTTGGAAGGAAGGGAGAGATCCGTAAATAGCTTCTCATAATTAGAGTTTTGACTTCAACCTTAAATTTATTAATAGTGTTGTTGAATATAAAATAAGCAAAGAGTCAAAGACATATGAGAGACCTACCATAATCATACTAGGAAATACTATATTTATAACTAAAAGAGAATACGACTACTAATTGGAAACTATGAATAGTTATTGATAACAACAATAATAGGAAACTGATACATATGCTTCTAAATAATAATAGTAATAATTGCTGTAATTATAGTAATTAAATTATAATAATGATACTAATAATAATAATAATAACAATAACGTATCAGGTTTATAGTCAAAACATCACAGTATTAGAGGTTTTCTCCTATAGTTTTCTTTCTCCTTCTCATATCCTACCCCGTTCTTTCTTTCACTCTCACTCGTGCACCCTCACCTTTGTACAAATAAGCTCCAGTGAACACAAAACTATCTCCCCCATCTTTAGCATTGTCTCCTGTTTTTACTTTTTTTTTTTTTTTAAATTGTTTGTTCAACAATTATGCATGTTTTATGCTGAAGCTATTGTAAATTGTAGTTTAGCAAATGGAATTTTAGTTTTAATTTTGCGAAATTATATATTTCAAGTTAATGTATTCACGTATTCATAGTCCATTGTCACAATTTCCACACACAGTATTCATACCGAGTACAGGTACCCCAACTGTATTTATACCCAGTATTAGTTTGTACATGTATCTGTGCAACATAATTTGTCAATGAGTAAGATAAAATATTAATACTTGGATTCTATGTCATTGAGAAGTTGTCCCTTTGCTACTTCAAGCCAGAATTCACTCTATACATGCGCTTTTGCATGCATGAAGCTAATGCAATTATAAAACTTCATCATTGAATACAGAATACTACTCAGAGTTTGTTGTGACTCGTGACCAATAAAGATGGGATGTAGTGTCAATTTTCTTCATGCATGTTATGATTTTTAGAGCTTAGTAATATATATTTTATGCAATGTGCTTAGGTTGGTTTAGCTTATGCCATCTATGTTGTGAATCGTCACAACATACTAACCTTTCTAATACTCTGTACATGTTTCAGGTAGTGGACATGTTTATGGTGTCAACCCTATTACCACCGCCAAGGTGCCTGTTCTAAAAGTTGTTGACAGTGGAACTGGGATTGAGTGTGATATATCAGTTGGAAACATGGATGGAATTTTGAAATCCAAGACTCTCTACTTTATTTCTCTCATTGATGAAAGGTTCCGAAAACTATGTTTTTTGGTAAAATGCATTTTCATGCTCAATATCACTATCTTTCAGATCCTTTTTCAATAGAACCATTTTAATGCACTAATAATTAGACATGAATACTTCTTGTCCCATAATTTCTTAATCCTAAGGGAAATGTGTCAAAGCACCATTTGCTCGTTAAAGATGTTCCTATAAGTTTGATTAATAAATTTTGATTGTGTGTTTTCAAATGACGTCGTATAATCCAACCAAAGAACCATTTCTTCGTTTGAAAATAACAATGAGCCAAGATGTGCCTCTTTGTATGAATATATTCAAAAAATTTAATTTTTGACTGTATGTTCCTCATTGTTCTTACCTTTGCTGAATTTGGATTTTCTGCCGTCGCATGTGATGATAGTTGTAAGTTGTGTTTGCAGATGAAAGCATGGGCCAAAGCACAAAATATTAACAGTGCAAGGGACAGAACCTTGAACTCATTAAGTATAATACTTCTAGTGGCATTTCACTTGCAGGTGCGGCTTCAGTTCAAATTGTTGAGTCATCAGTATAAATAGCTGTATTTCTCATTCTAAGGTGTTCTGCACGAATCAAACCATGAAAAGCTTAAATGTTAGTGATGAGAAACTATGCTACCTAAGGGAAAACAAGCATTTTATTCTACCCAAGGGCCACAGTGAAGTACAATTTCACATAGAGATGTTGAATTTACTGTGTTCAATTCTACAACTCCAAATGATTTCTTAAAATCGGCAGTATTTCAAGTCTTCTTACAATGCCAATTTGAGTTTATATTTTGTTGGAAAATCTCAAGAGCTGGCAGTATCCTCTATGAGATTGTTTCATCGCTGCATTTGTTTTCACATTATCATATGTTAATTTTTTTTTTTCAATTTATTTTGGAAGGCTTGAGCTTTTTATGTACTTGCATGAAGAAGTTTGCTTTTCAAGGATAATATTACTCCATAATAAATTAGCTCATTTTGGTTTTGCTAAATTGAATAATCATTTAAGTTGTAACTTCCTCACATATTTTTTTCATCAACTCAGGTAACACTCTATATTACTATTGTGTTCGTGACTATTAATTAACCGACTACTATGCTCTTGGGTAACTGAATTTTTGCAGACTCGTAATCCTCGGATACTGCCACCTTTTTCTGCCATATTAAAAGGTAATTCCAAGTGATCTACGGAGTATTTAGTACTCAATCCGTCCAAAAAATTTCTTCCCATTTTGACTTCCTTGGTCAAACCTTTTAAACTTTGACCACAAATTATAGAAAGAATACATTCGGCCCTTTCTTTTGACCACAAGTCATACTGTCATAATATGAGAACAACTCAATCGATGGTTCCTACCCCCTAAACCCCCCACCCCAGCGCCCCCCTGCACCCACCCATACCCCCCCCCGGATATATATCTATGTTCAAATAGAGATATTAATGGTCAAATTGTTGCGTTGAAAAGTCAAATAAGAAGAAACTTTAAGGATGGATGGAGTAACACTTAATAGTATCTTCTTTGTAGTGTTACCAATATGGCTGTGATGCTCCATGTAATTGTTTTAGGACGTTTGTGGAAGATCTGTAACCATGATTCATCATAAGAGCCTGAATTTCTTTATTTCACACTACTTTTTGTTCTAGAGCGGCGTGGTGCTACACACACACATATACAGATTACAGACAACCACTTACATTTAATTTGCCATATTGCAGATGGCTATGATGCCGGAGCTGTGGAAAAATCTATAAGTAAGTTTAAAAATTATGGACAGAAGAATACAGAAGGGGTGGCAGAGCTGTTTTTTACGTTGTTACTAAAGGTTCTTTTCCCTGTTTCCTCTCTACTTATACATAATGCATAAATTCACTGGTCACTGGTTGTTTTTTCGTTGTTACTAAAGATGTTTTTCCCATTTATTTAACCCTATCTTTCCACTTGCTGGGTTTTTTCACCAATACTCAATGATTCCACATTCTTTTGCTCTTTGCAGTTATCATCAGTTAAGAAGCTTTGGTCCCAAGGTCTGTGTGCCAGCACTTATGATGGAAATTGGATATTTAAAACATGGGGTCGTAAAGCTGCCCGCATTCGTGTAATGTTTACTTGGCTTATTCACTTCCTTTGACTCTAATAGAAGCACTGTGTTTATTATCCTAGTTAATGGTCATCACAGGTTGAGGATTTCCATGATGGAGATCAAAATGTTTCAAGGGCTGTAGGAGTGGGAGAAATGAAAACAATATACAATTGCATTGACCTATCAATTAATCACATTTCTGAATTTTTGGGAGGCCGGATGGACGGATATACGTTACGAGAATTTTTGTTCGGCAAAGATGGGGCCATATCAGTATGCAGAGTTCCTATGAATTCCAATGCAGATGGGCTAATAACACTTTGGCCACCCCCTAGAATAGAGGACAAAAATTCAGATTTTCAGAAATCAATTCAACCAGGTGAGCATAGGAATTTGTCAAAACAGCCTTGTTGTAAGAATTTCAATGCGGGTGAGGCAAAAACTGAAATGCCGTTGAACGAAACTAGAATAGATGACAAAGATTCAAGTGGTCAAAAATTGACTCAACAACCAGGTGAGGGCAGGGATCAGTCAGCACAGCCTAGTAGTAAGAATTTCAATGCGAATGTGGCAAAAAGTGAGGTGCCATTGAGTACTACTGGAATACAAGACATTGAAGACAAAGATGCAAGTGGTCTAAAATCCACTCAACAGGGCGAGGGTTGGGATCAATCAGCACAGCCGAGTAGTAAGAATTTAAATGCAGATATGGTAAAATCTGAAATGCCGTTGAATGAAACTAGAATAGATTACAAAGATTCAAGTGGTCTAAAATCGACTCAGCGACCAGGTGAGAGCATGGATCAGTCAGCACAGCCTAGTAAGAACAATTGCAATGCGAATGTGGCAAAAGATGAAGTGCCATTGAGTACTACTAGAATACAATACATTGAAGACAACGATACAAGTGGTCTAAAATCAACCCAGCAAGGTGAAGGTCGGGATCAATCAACACAGCCTAGTAGTAAGAATTTCAATGCAGATATGGCAAAAACTGAAATGCCGTTGAATGCTACTAAAATAGATCGCAAAGATTCAAGTGGTCGAAAACGGACTAAACAACCAAATAAGGGTAGGGATCAATCATCACAGCGTAGCCGTAATCAAACCGCCTTGGGAAAGAGGAAAAGAACTGATGGGTCATCTCTTCCCTCTACTCTTTCTGGGAAGCCACTTGGATACAGTAAGATGAAAAGGCAAAGTTCTATGCCGTATGATATGTCAAGGCGGGAACACATCGAACCCCAAGGAGTCTTATCTTGGGATGATGGACTAGGACGAACTCCGCACGTTTTAAATAGAGCAGGACACACACTACCTACCCACCCGAACGAGACAAGACATACAAGTGCTTATGGGGAACTGTGTTATCATGAGACTGGTAGAATCCCATATCTACCTACTCCTGTTGCTCATCCTATCTATGCATCATCTGGTACTCGTAACTGGATATCTTCTGGCCATACGAGGGAGGCTGACATAGCCACAACTTTTGCTACTCAAATGGTCTACCCTGATTATCATTACAACCCGCTACATTTTAGAGCTCCACATTTTGCCACTCCAAGTGTTTATCCTACTTCTACACCTATAGTACCCCAGATGGTTCCAAACCGTGCTCATGGTACTTATGAAGCAGGGAATTTTCCATCTGCTTCTATGATGCCAGGATGTCCTCCTAATCTGCTCTATAGGACCAACTCTTCCCATCCCCAGGTTAACTCTTCTTCTAATGAACTTGCTTGGTTTAGACGAGTCCTCTGAAGTAAAAGTTTTCTTTTGATTTCATGACATCGCCTAATATTGTAAATGCCAACAGTCCGACAAACGAGGAATTAGATTTTTCTTTATGGGTCATTGGCTTTATGTTCAGCTCTTACCTGGAGTGTTTCTTGCTAGTGTATTTCCTCTTTTTCGTCTTGGCTTTAATTCCCGAGCTGTATGATTAAGTCTTTCTGTATAGGGTGTGTTTTTTTAAAAGCAAAGACAGCCGTGATCCCCGTGTTTTATGCTCTGCTCGTCATCCCAATTTTCCAAAAAAAAGTTCTAAATTCATAGATTGGAGTATATGTTTCATTGAATGGAGAACTTATGATGATGATTTACTCATGCAAAACACGATTTTTGCTTCTTCCTCAAGACTAAAAATATACCGCCGCGGGTTAGGACTAAAAAAATACGGAGTAGACTTTACGTGAATAGGACTGCATTGTTTTTCTTTCTCAAATTAAATACAGATTAGGACTTAATTGATAATGTAATTAATTAACAAAAATTGAGGAAAATATATATAAAAAAGAATGCATCATTCTTACAAAAGCTAGGCCAACAAATTTGCCCCAAACATTTTTGTGACGGAAATTTGTGACAAATAAGGCCCGTGCCATTTCAATTGACACTAAGACCATGTGTAGTCATGAAGTCCCGAGAAGAGCGTTATCCGCCATGTGGCGCAACCTCATCTGAGGCTCTATCATAAAGCCCCTTCATTATTACACATTTATATATATATATATATTCTTAATTGTTAAATAAAAAAATTAAAGGAAGAAGATGATTGGTTGGTGAAGGGAGGGGCAGAGTGTTATAGCCATGGCACCTCCTTTTTTTTTTTTATTGTGGCTATAACGCCTAGGGGAGGGGTGTATAGTGGCGCTATAGGGGCTCCATGCAAGGGTATGAAGCCCATTACATATTGTTGTGGGTCCAGCCCATTTTCATTTGGGTTCCATTTTTCTTTGTGGGGGTCCAATAATAGGAAAGTTTTTCCTTTACTTTGTTGACTAACAAAAAGGAGAAAAAAGGGCTGGGCAATAGAGGACTTACGGACAGAGCAGAAAAAAAAATATCAGAATTGAGAGAGGAAAGGTGCTGGTGCAGAATTTACAGACCAGCCGCACAAATTCGATCATCGCCGGAGATCCAACCGTTGGATTGAGCTGAAATTTTCAGAGGTTGTTCCCAACACTTAGGGCTTCAATCTGTTCAATTTTCACATCAATCGGAGCTACGGATCTTCTGCAATCGCAGCTGGTGCGACGCTGCGTTTTTGGGTGATAATCCTGATTTTCCTTCTCTATTGTTGATGCCTCTTATGTATGTTGTTGTTGGTGGGCTGTGACATCCTTGTAGACTGAGTTTGGGTGTTTTTACCCTCAATTTGCATAATAAGAGAAGAAGAGGGCGGACTCCCTATAAGTCCCGTGGTTTTTATCCTTCACATCGAAGGGGTTTTCCACGTATAAAAATCGTGTGTCGTTTGCATCTTTATTCTTCATATTTGGTTGTGGTTTATTTGATGTGTTGCTGATTTT